CTAATACGTCATTTATATCGATGTGTTATGTATGCTTTTTCCGCTATACTTAAATGTTATTCCAAACAATTAAATTACTATTGTTTTTGCTTCATAATTCAAAGTATTTTCTAATCGAACCTTCATTTTTGAGTATAAATATAAAACTTCATTCCACGGAATAGACTTACTATCATAGGAAAGGGTTTTAACCTATAACACATAACATTGAATCAAAAAAATTCAGAGAAAGTAATTGGTTAGACAGTTAGCTCGAGGTAGTCAGTGGTACATTTTGAAATCAGTTTTTGTTCACTTCGAAATAATAGTGAGTGTAATATAGATTGACGTAAACTAGTGGTTACATTGACACTTGATTAAAACTATTTGAATAGCACTAAAAAGCTAGGTTACCACGACTTTAATTACTACCCTACCACTAGTCAGTGTAGAAAGAATTCATTGATATCACTTTATTTTGAAGGGAATAGCTTTTTTTACATGAAAAAAATATTACTCCTCTTACATATGAAAAAATTTTAATAAGACGCTGATTTTTTTATTGAGCGATTATAAAAACAATTTAAAAATTTAACTTTATGTTCCTATAACTATTTAATCTGTAGCAGCAATAAACAAAGCACACATGAATTCTTTAAAATTTACATTAAAAATGATGAATTTCAACATTGCTACTAACAAATAAATGAAATATATTTTAGATACATCTATTCACAATTTAAATATCAGTGAGTTAAATTTTATCATGTTATTTATCAATTATCTAACCAGAATACTGAAATTCATATCAAAATACAGGTGTAGTATAAATATCTTTTGTTTATTATTGATTCAGTGTTTTGATATTGAACTTTTGTGAATTGTTTACTTTTAAGAATATTTTACTGAAACAATCATCTATTATCCATGCATATATGAGAGAATACTTTAAGAGGTTATAAATTCTTAGTTGTCAATTTCCGCCAACAATGTTTTCACTGAAATTTATTATTTCAGTTATGAGTTTTGAGTGTATATTAGTTACCTAATTAAGGGCTTTAATGCAGATCTGCTTAATTCAAGTTCAAGTTCACTAAGTAATAGCTGATGAGTGAAATAATCTAGTTTACTGCATGTTTGTTCTTTTCTGACTACTTCTGTGAGTTGAACTTATAACCATATCAACACGCAGATTATTCCATTAGATAAACTAGTTAAAAAAAAAACATAGCATTCTAACTTTCTTGTCGTTTAGATCTTGTTTAGTGTCAAGGTCAAAGCCACCAGTAAACCATAAATTCATCTAAACTGCTTCAGATCAATAAAAATCATTTAAATGATACAATCTTCTCGTGTTTGCTTTTATTTCTGATGACCTAAAAATATTGTTATTTTCAATTCTGAATAATCTTATGCAGTTTTTTTAAAAAAAATAGGGAAATATGTAATCAGAACAACACATATAAGCGAACAATATTGTTTTCGATTAGATCGTCATCAGGCTTTACTCTAATATACATGAATATGTAATCGACGAACAAATAAGAATAATATTGATTTCATTAGCATCTAGACTCTAACTCACTACTGATGTTCAGAGAGGAAATTAATGTTTTCATTTGGAAGGAAACAAACTAAATGAATTAGCTATAAAGTGGAGAGTTATGATGATGTTGATTTGGTTAGGGACATTTTTGATTTACCTTAGTAACTGGTTGCATGGAGCTAATCAGAAGGACTGCCTAACTGCGGATGTTACGACATAAGTATATTTGTTAGGAAAAACGGCAAACTCATTGTACTACAATATCTTCAATTTGCTTCACTTATGAGATGGTGGAGAAAATTTATAGTACATCCAGGAATGATAGGCTATTATTTGATTCCAGAACTGACACAGGAAAACTGAAGACTTAAGTATTTCGGAAGCCTACCCACACAGACCTAATTCTCAACTACAGCAGCAACAAACCAAGAACTCACGAAATCAACTGCATAAAAACTTTGTTCAAGGGAGCGAAGACACACTGCAGCACATATAAAGCACTAAAAAAGGAGGAAAAACATCTTATGACTATCTTCCAAAAGAACGGCTACCCACTCAACTTCATCAAAAAACATCAACTGAAATCGTCAACAGGAGTGAAACCAAGTACAGGAACCAATAAATGGATCATCCTACCATAAATAAATAAAAGACATATCGGAACATACAGCAAGACTACTATGACCATTTAGAATAGGTGTAGTGCACAAACCAACAGAATCACTTCAATCAGTCCTATGTAGACCGAAGGACAAAATGACAAAGGAAAAAAACCAAATATCATCTACGAAACAAATTGCTCAGACTACGAAAAACACCACATAGGACAAAGTTCCGTTTACGTGAACACCAATCAGCTGTTAAATGCTACGACAATTCGTCGCTTATATAAATATGCACCGACAATTATGGACATACATTCGATTGGAACATTGTAGAAATAATGGATAGGGAGAGCACAAAGTACACGAGAGAATTTTTAGAATCTCGTCACTCAGGTTAATCAACAATCAATAAACACATCAACATTGACCCAATTTATTAACCAGTCAGGAAAAACATAGTCGACATAGGATCAAGAAACAAATCAAAAGGGGGATACAATCAAAACAAACGTGCAAACAACGACAGACTTAAAGTCAACAGTAACCAATCAGGACCATGGTTAACAGAACAAGCTACGGGTCAAACGTGGAGAAACTCGAATACTTCACTTCTATTTGAAGTTTGTACTGATGATGTTATTCAGAAGAACAATGAAAGCTCCACAACCAAAACATCCAGCCTATAGAACGAAATACCACCATAATTCACTTTTGGTTATAATTGGATATTATAACCAAACAGTTTTAATGGCTGTTGGTCAGTTACAGAAATGAAGCAAAAACAATAATTATACTTTAAAGGTTATATAATGGTGTCACATACCAACCACTAGTATTAAATGATCATTTGAGACTAATTGTTACCGAACATGGTGTTAAACCTGTTATTTTTGATATCGTGTAGTTATTTCAACTGGTTTCTAAATAATACGTCATCGGCTGAGTTGTATTGACCTTCAGATGAACGAAATGAGTTGTTCTATTGGATTGTTGAATATGTACACGTTTGTGTACATACTTGATATGTGGTAGCAAGTGTTTTTCATTAAAATATTTTCTGTGATGAGGATGATGACGGTTGACTTTAAAGTAAATAAAATAATTAAATTAATCTTGCAAGATTGTGATCGGTAATCCGGAATAAAACATTTCCTTCAGCAGTTATTTTATACCATGATATACTGGGTCTTTAATTTTTTTGAGTTTGAAATCCATAAAATGCCTGACAACCTAACAAACTATCCAGTCTATGGACCTAAAGAATGTAAAGTTAGAATTATTTTTAGAGCTATGATTAGACCACAATGAATGTTGTAACTGATTAAAAAATTCTATCTGTTCGACAGTCAATAAGTTTAACGAAAATAGCTTTTGTGTAAAATGTACGCGCTTTACTATCTCTTTATGTTACGCTGTAAATAGTTCTTATCGTCCCAGCAAAACAGATATCATAGTTAAAGAGTTTTGTACTCAATAAAGATGTCAATCATTATGCTCTAAACGAATCTTTCATTTTTAATTCAAAGTTACCTACATCTTAACTACCTTCTCTGCGTTTGTCAGTCTACTCATTTTTCTACTGATTTGGAATTGCATGAAGCAAAAGTAATGATATTATTGTTTAAGGTGCTATTGGGAAGAATACTCATGCTAAAATTTGATTATCAGTAAATATCTCAAAAATCTTGAGGTAAGTTTTTTCAATGATCAAAGCAACGATCCAAAAATACATACACAATTGTGACTGTAGAACGCATCACAAAAAAAAATAAATAGCATGCCTGCAACTAGAAAAATGACATCCAACCATAGAGTTTAGCTTTTTTGTTAAAGATCTTTTTGATTGAAATATCAAGCTGGTTATACTTTCAATTCATTAAAGCGTTTTATGGCACAATTATTTGTGTAGTTTCGTTTTACTTTGTTTATTTGAGTAAAATGTACATATGAAAGAAGATATACTTTTTAACAAATTTTTCCAATATTGAATATCTTCTGAAAAATATATATCATCAATGTATGTTGTTAATACTTACTGGGATCTTTTTTTCTCTATATGGATTGAGTGATCTCAGTGTAGACACAAGGCTTAGTTTATTTTGATTTTCAATAGACAGATTACATGTCTACTGAAGTGAATAAAGTAGTACCTGGTTTCGTCTGATTCGAAAAGAAAGCACGAAATACATATAACTGTGAATTTGTAATCAACATAACATAGGTTTTGGTTATTCCAAAGGTTGTACCCACAAATATTTATTCGGAATAACTCAGCAAAATAGCAATAATAATTAATAAAAATTAAATATATTCAAAATAAATAGCAGTTAACTATCCATTCAACCAATTAATATAATTTTAAGTGTTCTACTGTCACATGTATGCCGTTCATAAGAACACGGTAAAAACAATACGAGTGATAATGCCAAAAGACTGAAATAAAAACAAATGATTTTTGTCATCAGTGAACCGACATAGTCTGATCATTACCAGCGGTACCACTGTGATAATAGAGTTAGGAAAAAAAATATCTCGACGAGAATTTCACTATCTGCTTATCTGTTCGATAAAACTTTTCAGCTTCAAGAAGTCAATGAACTGTTTGTAAATTTGATAGAATACTTAACTTTTCAAATATTTATTAGTTTTTTTTTTAGTTGTATATCAGTTTTTGATTAAATCGATTAGAAAAAACATTGTATACATCCAATCAATATTATTTCTCCGATTGCTACCTTCCATTCATTCCGTCGTTTTACACTGTGTCTGATATATGCAACCCATCAGAAATTTATCATTTCGACAGTGTATCAAGTGGTTATCAGTTTGATAAAACGATGAGTAAATATAGAGTTTTTTAAGAAACTTACAGCTTCACAATGAATGGATGGTTCAATTGCATCAATATTGATTTTTCATTTTTGACATGTTCTACTTGTTTTAATCGTACCAATTCCTCAATTATCAATACTTTCAATGCATAGTATTGTTGTGAACATTTATCGTGAACTACAATTACACGACCAAACGTTCCTGTGCCTAAAAACAGACATAAAAAAATTTTTACTTCATCTCTGGTTTCCTCTTAACGCGATAAATCGATATTCGTGTTAATGAATTAACCATACTTTATGACTTTCAATTAATGTTAACAGTATGAATTATTAATAATGTCTAAGCTTAAAACATTGTTAAAACATTCAAGTTGAAAACAACGACGATAAATAACCCGAAACTTTAAAAGGATTTTATACAGAAAATACTACTTTTCTTGACTATTCATCTAATTAAGTTCATCAATTACATACCGCATCCTTTTTGATCACATCAATAAATTTGCCAAAGTAGTGGTATATGAATAGAGACAAGGTATCATATCACTTGGAATCTTAAATATTGTATGCATTTTCTTTCGAATACCAGTTAAATTTTGTTTTACAACTATCTGTATCATTGATAAACAGAAACAATATGAAGGTTAATGTTGTAAAACAGTGAACATACTTTTGATGTATTTTATGCATAAATAGTCTAATCTATTTTAGCCAAGTTAAAATGACAAAAAATCTAGATGTTTCAGGTATCATTCAAGTACAAAATCAATCCCAACTAAACGATGATTGATCAATTTTTAACGACATATGTTGATACTTTCTTCGGAAATATCACTTAGTTACCAAGTCAATGGATGTAACATTAAGTTTCAGGACATGATTAAACAACTGATTAATTATGATACCTAATTTATAAAGGAGTAAGAATTGGATAGATTTGAAATCAGTTAATGAACATTTGTTAACTATTCAAAACTTTTCACTAAAACGCGCCATTACTAGGCTGAAATATACTCAGTTATTTGCTAATTCGTGCACAAAATGAGAAAATACGAAGTCAACGGAGAAACATACAGATTTTAGTTTGCCTATGTATATTCATGCAATAAAAATTTCACATTAAAACTTCATTCCTTTCATATTGGACGTAGTTCATACTGATTTATTACAAGAATAGCAATGTGAAGTGAAGTTACACCAAACGAACAATTGCACTTTTCATATTGAATAAAAAATCCATACTGAATTCATGAAAGATACTATGCACCGGAAATAATGTCACTTTTCGATGACTAGTATCGATTACATTCCAGAACAGGGTTTAATATTGTTTTCCTTAAATCAAACAAGATGGGTAATGATCAAAAACTTTGAAATTATTCTACTCTAATTCTAGACAACCAATTATTCAATTTTGTCTTTGAGACTTAATTCAGCAACTACTGTACCACTTAATGATTAAACTATTGAGAGAGAATATAGGTATACTTTGTTAATACCAGCACCAGTTATTTGATATTGTTTGTATACTTACTTATAAGGACAATTATATAATTAGTATCAAGCCGTGACGAAGAGATACTTCTTCACTTAACTTGTATTTTTGATGTCCTATAGTAGATATCCAAAACACTAAAGATTTTATTATTTGTTTGAATATCAAAATTATTTATTTACAGATAACACTACCTTCATGGTAACTTTGGACAGAATCTCACGGGTTTATGGAAAGTTATAGAAAATTGAATTAAGTGCTCATCAATGCTTATCATTGCCATTAACTCGACAAAACTTTATTTACAAATTAAACATGTCACATTAAGAAGTTTCTTCAAGAAATACTTCACACTGTAGTCATAAAACAATATAATTAGCTGACCATCATGTCCGTATCATAGTTGTTTCCTCACATAAAAACGCCATCTTAAAGGTAGACATTTATCTTTCATTTTCTTACAATGTAATTTATTATAAAATAGTGAAATAAGTGAATGCACACTATTCTTGAAAATTCTAGAAAATTAAAAGACTCTTAATTTCTGATGATAAATATATTTACTGTGTATGAGAAACAGTTTTTTAATGTGCCATTTAAACTGAATATTTTTTTTAATAAACTGCCCTATAAAATGATACTTAATGCGAAATGAAAGAAAAATCATCAGAGGATAAACTTCATCGACGACTGTGACGAAATTCGGACTTTCTATTATTCTAATTCTTTTAAATTATTCATTTTCCTTTTTTTTCTTCAAACCTTTAAAGTTATTATTAAGAAACCATCAAAATCTAGTCTTTTCAGGTTTGCTGAGGTGACAGTCACGGAAAAACTAGAAATCTAACTGATTTATTTAAAAAAGTAACAGTAACTAATCTTTCAATCTTTCTCATGATTACAATTACTATTTCACTACGTCACAGTTTTTCAGCTTTCGCTTGATTATATCGCCAGATATAATTTCTCTGCTTTTTTCTACTTCATTATTTTATTTCCGGATAATTAAGTTTGACTAGTGTTGTTTATAATTAGCGTTCACTTCTTTTCAGTTACTTCGTTATCTAATCAGTTATGACACAATCAATGTTTCAAAAATATCTACTGTATGTGTTTTATTTACACATATAACATTTTTTTCCAAGTCTTATTGATTTTATTCGGATCTTTATCAAGCTATGCTGATAAGTGTTCGTGTTAACCTCCAAGAAAGCTTTATTGTATATGAACGTAATTTTTGAAATATTATATAATATTTTAAACAGTTATCAAGATTTGAATATAATCAAGTGAATTCATATTATTTTGTTTTTTCGTGCTCTTTTCAAGTTGACAAATGAAATTTGATTACTTAGTCATTGTTCTAATTAGTGAATGTGTACGATTGAGACTTTTGAAAATTGAAATGATAGTAAGAAAACAGAAGGACAATTTGTCCGTGATCGATTCATGATTTCAAAGAAACTCTACTGTGAAAATCACAAGAAAAAATGTTTGATTGTTCACAAGTGCCTTATAAATAGTATTGTGAAAAATAATCAATTGCGCTTTTGATCATATTCCTATTCTTTATTGTTTCTCGTGTTTATGTGTTTACTAAGTAGAGAGAACGATGTAATATTTCTTTATTTATTCAGTATCATACAAATGTGTCTTTATGATGTTTACGATATAACTTTAGTTTTAGAAAAAGCTACTAAAGAGCTAGACTTACACCGTGAAAAATAAAAACTTGAAGTTTTTTAATTTAACATTACACAAGTAAGCATTTTGTTTGAATTTCATAAGAAACACATGACGCTTTTTTATTAAGTGAATTCAATCAAAATAAATTTAAACTTTTAGCTTAACCTATTGGGTTGCACAATGAAGCGTCACTTGATAGTGAAATAGTTTGTGATGCAGTATTCTTTTTTTTTCTTTTGAAGGAAAATGTATGGGTTATTTCTTGAACAAAGGAAATAAATGTTTACAATATTTATTTACTTTCATATTAATAGATAAAGCGTGAGATTTCTATAATAACCTGCGTTTACTTACATCACATTTGTTATTATCTGCAACAATTTCAGTAACTAAGTTAATAAATTAGTTAACTAACTAAAATCACGTGTTATGCTAATGAAATGAACTTTCTAAGTGAACATTTTATTTTCTTTTAAACACGTTATATTGTATTTCACTTTAAAATACTGTTAAAGGTCAGTGAATCTAATCGAATGAATTCACGTATTGTTTACAGTTTTTCGCATCCGTATTAATCACTTGAATAACAATAACTATTTTGTTTTATTTAGCAGTATATTTTGTTTGTTTTGTGAAGACTAACAATTATTGTAACTGAAAAAGATTGTTATCAATGTACTTTATTTCATGTTATGACAAAATCAATCATTTATATAACTAACTCGAAGTCTACTACAGAAAGAATGATCACAAAGGAAATTTCAACCAGTTGTGATAGAATGACCTCTGAATGTCTCTGTTGTGGATATTATTGAAATTTCGGGTTTTTCCAGAATCCATATTGCTCTCACATTGTATCATACTCAAAAGCATGATATACGTGAATAAAACATATTGGATAATGAAGACATTCAGAAGGAAGATCTGGAACATGATTCCGTGTTTCGTGGTTTATATTTTAATTTGTAGGAAAAGACCTACTTCTACCTATATTAGAAGGGAAAACTAATGAACAAATCTGACAGAAAATATGCTCCAGTACTAAAACAAGTGAACTAGCCTAAACTTATATCAGTTTTCTCAGAGTTACAGATATATTTCACTGATGAATTCAACAAAATACGAACTTGAGCTTTTTAGTGATTACTCTTCATTTTAATAAGCAAAACCTATTACACCATAACACTGAATAGTTCACTAAAATTTCTGAATAAATTGTCTGGACTAGAGACGTTTGAAATGATGGCTTTTAATCGCAAGAATGATTAGTAATTAATAAAGTGCACCTCACGCCGGCAGTGAAACAAATAAACTTTTACGACTAGACATGTTTTTAGTATCCCTAACTTTGACAACATAAAAAACAGTCAAGAAACTGTTTAAGAGTGAAAGAGCTAGAAAGAAACTTCGTGAACAGTTTAGTGCTTAAGTTAGTGAATAAACATTTATTTTAACACCGAAGTGATAACCGGAAATTCGTTCAATTCCTAATCTGAGAAAACTGTACTTTTTGAATTATGAATGATGCCTTTGACATTGTTATTAGTTAAGAAAACAAGCGCTAAACAGATATTTCGTACAGGTTTTGAACTTATCGACAACAATTTTCGATGACTTTTCCAGAGGTCGAACTTGAGACCACTTTGTCTTGTTATCTTTATGATAGTAAGTCTCGATTTTCCCTTCCATTTTTTTTGGTGACATATTTTGAAAGACTTTACACAATTGTATTTTTTGTATGGAAATAGTAAGTTCTGATAGATATGATTATATAATTGACATTATAAATATATATATTACATATTTTGAATATACTTCCTCACTGTAACAGAGTTTACGCAGAATGTTCACTGACGATCATCAATGGTCACATAATTAGATATTATACATATTGAATTACTTGATACCATTTAGTAGAATGAGAGAATTATCAATATTTATTCAGTGTTCATTTTATATTTTTATCCCCAAAGGTTCAAAACCTCTGCCCCCAAGAATCGATCACCCAGTCAGTCTAATCTACC